AGCCTTAACTGATAAGGTACTGCTTCACCTGATCTAGAAAGTCTCATGCTCTCGTTTGAGATACTGCTCTAGTTTCCTCGAATAATCTTAGATGTGATTGAGGTATTGTTCACCTTGTTGGAATATCTCAATCAATAAAATACTGCTTCATTGGCTTGGAGAATCTCATTTCCCCTTTTGCAGAGATACTACTTTGAGTGTCCTCGAAGAGCCTTAATTCATAGGGTACTACTTCGTGCGATGCAGAGAATTTCTTTTCTTTTGTTAAGCTACTCTAAAGGTCCCTGAAGAGCCTTAAGTCATAAGGCACTGATTCACATAACTTGGAGAATTTCATTTCTTAAACTGATATACTGCTTTATTAATCCAAAGAATCTCAGGTGTTCTGTTTAATTTGCTTCCTGCTATCCCATTCCTATATCTTTTATTGCATTGCATTTTGCATTCCTATTAGACAAAATTTAGGGTCCTTTCGTATTTAATTATCTTCGACTACGAATGTATGAATATCGTTGCCATTCATACCTTCTTGTTCAAGAAAATTAAATAGGGGCATCGATTATGGGAAGAGGGTACTTGTTCTTTATAGTTACCTTATTTAGATGTTAATAATCAACACATAGCCTCATATTACCATCCTTCTTCCTTACCAATAACATTGGTGCTCTCCACGGTGATACACTTTATTTAAGAAATTTCTTTTCCAAGAGCTCTTCTAACTGACTCTTTAGCTCACCCAACTTTGAAGTAGACATTTCGTAAGGTGCCATCGACACAGGTCTAGTACATGTACTAAATCTATGGCATCAACCACTGGTAGTTCAACAATCATAACTTCAGTCTCAACTTTCAAAGAAGCAAACATAGAAAACACTTGAGCTTCATATTTCAATAACACTTCCACTTGATTATACAATATAAACATCAAATCTTCCTCTTCACCAAACTCAGTACACAACACTGACTCATCCAATAACCTGCACTCTTGCAAATAGCAAAATGTTAAACCAACTTTCCACACCTGAAACGTCTCAGAGAAGTAGAAACTCTTCCTCCACTTGTTTCAGTCCCGCTCCTTCTAGAAATCAGTTAGAAAAGAAAAATGAGTATCGACAGTGTTCACACATATGTCATATATCAGATAAATAAACAAATTCACAAATGTTGTATGCCAGGGAAATAAACAAATTTACACAACTCAAAAATAACTCTAAATGACTCTAAAATACTTCAAGGTACTCTAACGTACTCAATTGATAACTCTTGCATGGTCAAATTACTCTAAAAGACTTTATTTGCTTAATGAGTCAGTGCAAATAACACAATTATGGTCAAATTAAAATAGCACAATTATCTATTTATTCTAATAAACTTAATTCTCAAATAATTAATAATTATAATTATCCCAATTAAACTCAATAATTCTATTTTTCTTCCCAACTCTAAATACCACTAATTCTATTATTAATAAAATAACAATAATTCAAGCAAGACACATATATCACTTAATCAAATTAAATAAATTAAATAAAAATAATAATTAACTAAATTCGGGTGTTACACTTCTCCTTCCTAGACATGCCTAACAACATGATCTGCATAGAGATGAAGTAAGGAGAGGAGGTGTCAAATGGGTCTCTTAGATAACTTTATAGGGGGCATCAATAGCGGGTTCCTTTGGGCTTTAGGGGCTTTAGTGGTTGCTTCATCATTTTGAGACTCGTGGCCTCATGAAGTAGAGGCCATAGACATACGGCTACGAGAAGTATAATTAGATGGTTTAAGGTAAGCTCATGGTGGTGAGAGACTCTGTTTCGAGATGTTTTTCTAAGAAGTGAGAACAAGCTCACGAGGGTGAGAGGTTTTGTATTTGGGGAGTATTTTATGATGAATTTAGAATATCCTTGCAATCCTAAGAATGAGATATTTATAGAGACTTATGAGTATGGATTTGGCGACCCCTGGGAAGTAGTAATCGTTCCACCTTGATTAGGAAAGTTGTTGATTGCCTATTTCTTAGGGAATCGTGACCATGACTTCTTGCAATGCAGTTATAAACTATGTAGATGCACCCTCCATGTTTGTCATCAGGGCGAGCTAGCTACTGTGTGGGGGTTACGTCTAGAGTCTGGACGATATATTTTAGGGGTGGGCGTCTAATGAGGCTTACCCCGTATTTCTCTATTGTGGACCTTTACAAATATATCACTACATGACTGGTGCATCTTGTAATGAAGAACTTAAATATATTATATAGCTTTTGACTCCCGTTTACTTTACAAAATTAAGCAATGTGAGATTTTTTAACATTTATATTTTCAACCAACCTCAACATTTTTATGGATTGGAAGAACATAGAAAATTTTGGTATGGATTAAAGAAGATTACTTTAGACTGATTTGAATCTCAATCTAAAAATCCGAGTTACTCAAATATTAAAATGTTGATGAATATAGACACACTTTAAAGACACACAAAATCAAAATTGATCGGACACTAAAGACCCTTGGATGACAAAGTTATTTGTGATCCTCTAACATCTTTGTCCCTAAAATATAATTAATTTTATAGTACTCACAATTTTTATTAATATGACCGTCATAATGTTTATAAATACACTCTACCGCTAAAATCAACAAACAACTATTATTGTTAAAGAATTCATCCCCACTCAAATCATTTAAATCCCTCTCGATTAAAGATGATGAAGATGAATTATGAGTTGAAAAAAAATGTAAGAAGAAGAGGGAAAAAAATTACTAAAATGACAAACATGTCTGACATTATGAATGATAGATGACTAAAAAAAAATAAAAAAAAAAATATCAGATAAAATATGGAGGAAAAATATATTTTAGTCCTGTATTTTATTATAATAATAACAATTAAAAAACCTACTTATATTCTAAATTAAAAAATAAAATATAGAATTATAATCCAAAGCCCGGTCCACATTTTATTGAATAGGCCCATCATTATGATCCACCAAGTTGGAGTGGCTCAGCCTGTATTGCATCAGAAACAATCACTCAACTCAAGCCACCGGAGTTAGTTGTCGGCCTCCACAAACCGTCGAAGGGGGAGAACGAATCACTGTCCAAGCATCCTAACTCTCTCTCACGTTTTCTCTCTTAATATCTCATCTTCATTTTCGTTTTCTTCTTAGAATCAAGTAAGTTCATCAAATTTCTCTCTCTTATATTATTTACGGTTTTGTGACGGTTTCAAGCTTTGAGTTAGAACCCCATTTTTAGGTTCTTTTAAGAATTTTGATTTTTGGGATTTTAGTGAATGCCCGTTTTTCTGTGTTGTTTATGTGTTGAAAATTGTAGGATGAACTTTTGTACTTAATGTGTTGCCTTTTAGGTGTTTGATAATTTTCCTGAGGGGGTGTTATGGGAATCTTTGCCTGAGTAGACTGTACTTTTAGCAACCTTGTTGTGTGGCTGACTGGCTGTGAAGGAAAAAATTAAGTTTTTATTCATCAAAGCTCTAAATTAATTGCATTTGGGTCATTTTAAAGTTGATTTCTGAATGTGTTTGCTGCCATCATGTCATGTTTTCGGTGGTATTTCACTAATTTGACTAATAGAAACCAAATCAACATTGTTTGCGACATAGAAAGCAACGAAGAATAGACGCCTGCATAATGAATAATATGAGAAAGTGGAAGTGATTAAGTGTAACCATGTGTGTCCGTAGCGAGCTGGAGCTGGTTATCAACACATTTCAGACACTAGACACACCTGCATTGTGAAGTATCATTACTACATTGTTTGCTACTAATATCTCACTTAAGTTAGTAGTTTTAATAGAACTTTTAATACTCTGCTCATGTTTCTTAGAGAGATGCAATGGACCTTTAGGAATCAGATGTATTAGTTTGTGGAAATAATTCAGTTTTGTTTATTTACTCTATTTTCAGTAGCTTTTAGCATAGTGACTAAGATCTAAAATACTATAAAGTAATAAACTAATACTAGTGTTTGCTTTAAATATCACATTCATTAGCTTGTACCTTCTTCTCTGGCTTTTAAATTTAAACAAGTTTATTCTGGTTTTGGTTTTCACAAAAAGGAAGCTTATGAAGCAAAGCTGACATATTTGTAAACATACCTAGTTCTTGACAGCCTTGGAGTTGAGTTGTTTTGACTGTCACCTCTAGTCTGTATCAATTTGGAACCAAGGTTATCGAATAGTGGCCCCATCGCCCTATGGCGGATATACATGGTGGTTCTTGGGCTGGCTGCAATGGTAAATATCGGCCGATATTGCGGGTTTTTTCATCATAATCCTCTATTGGCTCTCTGCCAAGAACCTTCATCCGCCATCGATAACACTGTTTGGAACTATAGTTAAGTTGGCAGTTTGTGTTTTAAATTGGATATGTAAGTACATAGAAAAGAAAGGATGCTGTTGTGGCAGTTATATCTTATAATCTAATCTACATTCTGTCTGAGCAAGAAAGCTAAATATTACCATCTAGTTAATAGATAATTTCATATATTCATAGGAGCTACTACTCTACATTCTGTAACTTTAAAGAATTGTTGAATGGCATAATGAACTGTGATTGTAATTAATCGGCCATAAGTTAACTTAGTAATGCATCTCTTGCTTTGCTTTGGCTCATATGTGCTAGAGCTGAGTGGGGTGGCCGACTAATACTGAATCTGTGACTATAAAACCCAACTCAATCCCTACACGTGTGGCTGTAAAAGAATATGAGAAGTGGCCTCTGTCAAATGGAATTTCGGTTCTAGATTTTCACTTTTTTTTTCAATTTTCTTTTCATCCCACTCACCACCAGTGTCACATTTGGAATGATGCAATTTCTGAATCGTTACTGAATCATACGCAACAATACGTCACTTGAAAAGTCAACACTGATGTATGAAAATATTTATTTTATTTGTATAACATTACTTGCGTTGGCAGTCATTTTTTTCTGGCTTCTTTTTTATGTTGTATAATCAATCAATTTGATTGGCATTACAGCCATGTTTTTGGCTAAAGCATTTGGACGGACATTCTTTGCTGCTGCTGCCAGATCAAAACATTGTTCCACTACAGCTGCTGCTGCCGGTGGCAGTGTAGTATGTAACCCTCTTCCGGACTTCTTTGAGGCAGACAGGAGCCTTGAAAATGATAAACCAGTTGTCTATGGTATGAAATATACAACTCTTCTTTTCATTCGCAATAAGAATTAAAAATCTCTGATTTTTATTTATTGCCACACTTTACCAGTACAATAATAATTTATGTTTTTCTCTATTGAGCTTCGTAATTTGTGCACTTGTGCCATTTCTATTAGTGGCTTCATTTTATTAGTATTTTACCATTGTTGTTAGGTCGGAGTTGGAAGGCTTCTGAATTGCGTCTGAAATCTTGGGATGACCTTCATAAACTGTGGTATGTGTTGTTAAAGGAAAAGAACATGTTGATGACTCAACGTCAAATGCTTCATTCTCAGAACTTGCGTTTTCATAACCCAGAGCGCTTACCTAAGGTATTTCTTCACTTCTTGCACCTGGTCTGCTTTACGAGTGCTGTTTTTGTTACCCTTAATTACGTGGATGTAAGTATAGAAAATCACATTGGTGGTTTATCATCTTTTGGTGAAAACACTTTTGTATAGAACATGCTGGAGAAATTGAATGCAGAGAGTTAAACTCTAGGGGTAGCAGGAAAAAAAGTGCATCGGTTATCAATGATTTTTGTCCTTTTAATTTATGTGAAATCAGGTGCGAAAGTCAATGTGTCGCATCAAACACGTGCTTACCGAGAGAGCAATTGAAGAACCAGATCCCAGGAGGTCTGCTGAGATGAAGAAAATGATAAATGGTCTTTGATGACTTAAAAGGATATGTTTTTTGTCGCGTTGTTGGGTATGCTGTAAGAATAGGACACCTACTTTCTTTCATGGATGTTAGAAATTTGCTGACCAAGGCAATGTGTTCTAATACATGATTTACTTAAAGTTTTGCATGTTTAGAATTCGAACTTTGTTTTGTTTGACCTGAGAGTCAATCGATGAAGAAATATAATCAAGCATGTACTATTCCCAGCCAAGAACAATAATGTTTTTACTATTAACATTACCATCGTGATTAGTTCATCCTCGTTTATAAGTTGCTTGTCTTACTCTTTTTTGAAGACTCCAACTTGATCACAAATAACTCTTGGCATAAAACATCACCAAAAGGCAAAGAACAAGAACGAGCTATTATTTTGTTGCTTGTTCAACTGCTTCTACTACTCGAAACCAAACAAAGGGGAAAAAAAACACAAACAAACATCATCTCATGTTATTTTCATGTAGTGTTTACCTTTCCAACTCTAGTTGGTGGTTTATGAAAGAAGTCTATCACATTCTTCTAATGATGTCAATCTTCGTCTTAAGAATGGTTAAAAAGCTTTGTTTGAGAAATTGTTTTAAAAATTTTATACCATAAATTGTCATGTAAAAAGAATGTAGTAATGGTTATGTTGCATTGTATAACGAACTTATATCAATAAATCCATGCATTTAGATCGTATTTGGATCAACGGGTTATCTTGCTTGCATAACTCTTATATATAAAAGTTGCACCCTATGTTTTTAAGTGTTATCAAGACAACCAATAGTCTTTCATCCGTTTTAAAATAACTGTCGTTTAAAGTATTTCACGTGGATTAAAGAATGTAATAATGTTATTATCAGATATTTTATATTTATTAAGTGTACAAAGTAATAATTAAAAAATACAATTAAAAAAGTTATTGTTATTTTTATATTAAAAAATAAGAGTGACGATTATTTCGAAACAATTTTTTTTTTTGAGTAATTTTTAAATAATAATTTTTTTTCTTCTTATAATATCTTTAACTTTTTAGTAATTTATTTAAATTTTCTTTTTCTATAATAAATAATTAAAGATAATTTTAACAAAATTATAATCAATGTCATTCCAAACTTTAAAATTACACAAGCAATAGTTTATTTCTAAAAAAGTGACACTTAATAACGGAGGGAGTACTTTTATAAGTTGTTTATATTAACTACTTTTAAAAGTTTGTGAAAGTAAGTGTGAAACTTCTTTAAAACTTATAAATTTTTGTAATATTTATCATTAAACATGTTTAAATAAATTAATATATAAATATTTTTTTTTGTCTAGTGATTTAATGATTGAAATTCACCCTTATAAATAAATTAATGTCACATGTTCAATTTTGCACTTTCATAATCGAATGTTTATGATCAATTTCGCACTTTCATAATCGGATGTTTATGTATAATTATAAATTAAATCGATTTAATGGGACAATAGAAACATAAATTTTAGTCCTTGAAATTCTACTGCACTTGTTTAAAAAATTACATACCAATGAAATATTTTTGGGATGACTTCCACTCCAATCAATTCTATTTAAAGAAATAGACACATGAAATCAAATAATATTTTTAACAAATGAGGATATATTGACTCTCGAGTAATTTTGAAATTGAATTACTTAACGACAACAATCATGTTTATATTCAATTTGTTAATTTTGAAATATTTTTTAATAATTTTGCTTTTTAATTTTCAGTTATTTTTAGTTGTTTGACCTTTTTTTCTTTTGAACTATTTTTTCTTATAATAGAATTGATATCTTTTTTCTCTACGCATTCAAACTATTAGGAAAAATTCAAGTTTTACGTTGATTAAAAATACAATCTATAAAGAGTTTATATAGAGTGACACCCCTCGCCTTACAAGCCAATTTTGTAGGAATGGGTTAGGTCAAACTCTAATTCTATCATGGTACCACGAGCCTATCGATTTGGCCCACCCACCATTTATATATGCGCACCAAGACCAAAAAATGTTAGGCGCAAGAGGGTGTATTGAAAAAATCAAGTCTCATATATTGACAGTTCGAGTCACCCACGCCGTTTATATCCACGCACCAAGCCCAATAGTGATGGGTGTGTATTGGGAAAAACCCAAGTTCCACATTCGTTAAAAATACAATCTACAAAGGGCTTATATAGAGTGACACCCCTCACCTTACAAGCCAGTTTTGTAGGGATGAGTTAGGTCAAACTCTAATTCTATCAAAAGTCACGCCGGTTTAGTTTTTATCATATTTCCTTTTATATGTGCTACCACAACACTCTTTTTATTATTGTCATTTCTAATCACATCTCGTCTAATTTTATCCGACATTTACCACATCATCTTCATTTATGTTACACTTACTTTATTCTCATGTTGATTTTTAACCGACCAAAATTTTATCTCGTATCGTATCGCATGACTTACTCTTGTCTTATAAAAATTTTCCTTCAACTTAAGCAGTACTTTTGTGTCACATAAAACTCTTGAGATCCTCCACCATTTCAGTCACTCAGCTTGAATTTGATGGTTTACATCTTCTATTTCTCAATTATTTTGTACTACAAAACCAAGATGTTTAAATCGTGTGACTTGTGATAGATATGGTCTTCAACTTTGACTTCTATGTTAGAAATTCTTCTCCTTTTGCTAAACATGCATTCCATATGTTTTGTCTTACTTTTGCTTAAGTGAAAGTCATGCATTTCTAAGACTTGTATCCAAGTCTTTATCCTCTCATTTAATCCTTCTTTGATTCTTCAAGTAATACAATATCATTTGCAAAAAATATGCATCTCAGTATCAACACTTGGATGCATTTCGTGAGTACATCCAAAATTAGAGTAAAAATAAGAGCTTAGGATTGCAACTTTGTGCAATCTTATTATAATGGGTAAATCAGTTGTCTCTCCATCTTGTGTCTGCACACTAGTTGATACCCACATCATACATATCTAGGATGGATGAAATATAAGCAATCTTAACCCTCAATCTTCTCTAGAGGTTTCCACAAAATCTCTTTAGACACTATATCATACACCTTCTTCAAGTCAATAAAAATTAAGTGCAAGTTTTATTGGTCCATGCAATATTGCTCCATCACACATTGTAGTAGATAAATCATCTTGATAATCAGCACCTCAAGCATAAAACCAAATTGATTATCATTAATTTGAGACTCTTTTCTTAGTCTTCGTTCAATCACTTTTTCCCATAACTTCATGGTATGACTCATAAAATTAAATCCCCTTATAATTTCCACAATCTTGTTTATCCATCATTCTTCTTATATATTGGAATTAAAGTGTTTCTCATCCATTCGTCTAACATTTGACATATGCTTTGATCACATAATTTTGTTAAAGATTTCGGTGAGTCACTAAATGCCTTTATCTACAAGAATTTTCAACACTTTGATATGTATGTTGTCTAGCTCAACCACCTTACTATTACTTTTTTTCCAACGCTTCTTTTACCTTTTATTTTTGAATTCAATAGTAGTAATTATAGGTAGTCTTCTTCTCTAATTTTGAGCATGCTAGAGTCGAGAGATATATCATATCTTTCATTAAATAAATTGTAGAAATATGTTTTCTACCCAACACGTATCACTTGTGTGTGTGTGTGTGTGTGTGTGTGTGTGTGTGTGTGTGTGTGTGTGTGTGTGTGTGTGTGTGTGTGTGTGTGTGTGTGTGTGTGTGTGTGTGTGTGTGTGTGTGTGTGTGTGTGTGTGTGTGTGTGTGTGTGTGTGTGTGTGTGTGTGTGTGTGTGTGTGTGTGTGTGTGTGTGTGTGTGTGTGTGTGTGTGTGTGTGTGTGTGTGTGTGTGTGTGTGTGTGTGTGTGTGTGTGTGTGTGTGTGTGTGTGTGTGTGTGTGTGTGTGTGTGTGTGTGTGTGTGTGTGTGTGTGTGTGTGTGTGTGTGTGTGTGTGTGTGTGTGTGTGTGTGTGTGTGTGTGTGTGTGTGTGTGTGTGTGTGTGTGTGTGTGTGTGTGTGTGTGTGTGTGTGTGTGTGTGTGTGTGTGTGTGTGTGTGTGTGTGTGTGTGTGTGTGTGTGTGTGTGTGTGTGTGTGTGTGAGAGAGAGAGAGAGAGAGAGAGAGAGAGAGAGAGAAAGAGATTTCTCCCTCTTAGTTCCTAGAAATTGGCATAACCCGTCAAAATCTTGAATTCTTGTTTCATTCACCGTCTTCTTGGTCGACAGTTTTACACCAAGATCATTCTTTAAAACATTTACTTTTTTACTTGAACTTTACTTTGAACACTTTCATTCCACCACTTGAGTCTTTACCCCTAGATTCAAAACCTCTCGATTCTCTAAACTCTCTTTAGATAATTTTCCAATATCTTGTGTCATCTTGTTCCACATATCATTCACATTTCTTTGTGGCTTTCCAAATCCCCCCTCTAAAATATTGTGTAGAAAACTCCCTTGTTTTTCACCCTTCAAATGACACCACTTGATTCCTGGAGTTCTCATGTAGCGTCCTCTCTTCGATCTCTTCTTGATTTTTATATCCATAACCAATACTTTATGTTGAATAGTCAGGTTCTATCTAGTTATAACTTTACGATCCAAGCAAATCTCCTTATCTGAATTCCTATTAAAAAATAAATATATTTGAGAGCATGACACTCCACTCATATTTATGATATGATTCTCATCTATTTTTCTAAAGCATGTATTATATATTGTAAGATCAAAAGTTGATGAAAAATCTAGGTTGAATTTGCCTCTCTGAGACCATACCCCTCATGCATGCCCTATAAACCTCTTGATACACTCTCTAAATGTCCATTTAGATCACCTCCTAGAAAAATCTTCTCCCTTTGGAGTATATGTTGAAATAGACCTTTGTAAATTCTCTTAAAATTTTACTTTAAGATGTTCTTCTAACACATTCTGAGATGTGTAAGCACTAATAACATTAAAAGTGTTTTGTTCCACTATAAATTTTAGGTTTATGCTCTGATCTCCTACTTTTTTCACATTTACAATATCCCTCTTCCATTTTTTGTCTCTCCACTCTATTTCTTTATCTAACTTTGTTGGTGTACCAAAATTTAATTTCAGACTTGTATAATTCTTTTGCATTTTCAACCTTCCACTTAGATTCTTATAGGCACAGGAAATTAATCTTTTTTCTAACCATTGTGTCCACTAATTCCATAAATTTTTAAATAAGCGTGTATATATTTCATATTTCAAAACAAATCATACTCGTATCAACTAATTTCTTTATCCACACTCGTTCATAAAAATGTGGATACTCTTGCTTATTTTTCATTGCATCCATGCGAAGATACAAAAATCCTTTCTCTTTTGACATTGTATTTGAGCCCTATAACGTGTTGCTTAAAGCAACAACCTAGAATTTACATTATTGTGTATTTGATCCATGTCATAGAGATTTGACAATATTTTACGTTAGTTGTCGACTACATAACACAATTCTCTACTTTTATTTAGGTTTGAGACCAAATATGCATAATAGAAATTTTTACTCAAATAATCAACTTTTTCAAATAAATACCCAAACTAACTCACTTTTGCACATATTTCCCAAACTAACCCACTTTAAAAAAACTTAACACAAAGAAAGCGTCAATTCAATTGGCAACAGTGTGTAGACACATATGAAAAATCGCCAATGAAAGAGAAAACATTATATTTGTACACTATCACCACAATTTTTTTTATGCGTTTGTACATTATTACCAATTGAACTCACGCCCCCTTTGTGTTTTTTTTAAGTGGGTTAATTTAAAAAATATGTTAAAAAGTAGATTAGTTTAAGCATTTATTTTAAAAAGTTGATTATTTGAGTAAAAATTTCTGCATAATAAAACTAACATAGACAAGATTTAAAAAAAACGTTACAATAAAAATAATATTTTAACGCTTATTCTATATATAAAAATATTGGCATATAGAAAAATTATAAGAGACTAACAATGTGGTGAACAAAACAATTACTCAAATTTTTAAAAGATTATTAACAATTTTTAGGAGTCAAAGAGAAAAAAAAGTATATATAAGTTTGCTAAAAAAAGGAAAAAAAGACAAGAGTTAAGTATGTTAAAGATAAAGAAAGAAGAGTTCTGATTAAAAAAAGTAATATAGAGGATAGATGGTAGAAGTATTTTCAAATTTTATTTAGTGAACAATATGAAATCTTGCCTGACTTCAACAAAACATTGAAGAATTATTAAAATAAAGAGAATATAAAATATCTATGTCAAATTAATTTTTATTAATCTTTTAAAGTTTTATAATTAATTCATATAGTTTTTTAAAAACTTTAGATTAACCTCTAAATATTTTTCCAAAAACAACAATTGGTCTACAAAATTTTCAAAATTATGGAAAACACACGCACAAAATTACACTACACACTAAAATGGAATTTTTAGGTGTTTACTTTTTTGTTAATAGCTGAGGCACTTTCTGTCGTTCAGTAGCCCTTGTGTCTCATTTCCAAAATTACAAAAGCCAATTCCAGAGGTAGTTATTCACATAATCTTAAATAAATACCTTAAACAGCCAAAATTTTCTTGTTCTAAAACTAAATTGTTGATAACTGGGAAATATGTTCAATAATATATTGAAAGTGTTCTGTGGTGCTTCAGAGATTCACTCTGAACTCCAGAAGCCCAGAGCCAAAGATCCAGCTCTACACTGAGCACCTGAAATAAGATAACACCAGAATTCAGTCAGAAAGATAGTCATTTTCTCCATATACATTGAACACAGGTAACAACAAGGAGACAATACTATCAGAGAAAATAACTCACCTGTTTTCCTGATTTTACACTTATCAGCTCCCTCATTTTCTCCACAGCATGTATAGAGCAGGCTCGTAGTTCAACTTCCTCCTCAGTCCCCGGACATATTTCACCACTGGCTTCAATAGTACTGGCAAGTTTTGGACTGAATTTTAAAATGCCAAGCTGCTGAAGCACGGCTGGGACAATATAGTCCGCCATTATAGTCAGAGAGCTGATGTCTTTAAACTCACCATATCCTTGGCCACTAAATGCACCCCATAAATCTGCTACAAATATCTGAGCTCTTTTATATAAAAATACTTGACGACCTTTGTATACTGAGTGGTCTCTAAAGCCTAGAACATTTCATATTAGGAGTCAGTGAAACAAATTATTTGCATATTATAGTCATCATTTATTTCAGAACTTAAGCAATGAAAATGTTTTCTACCAGGAAAATGACGTGCAACAAGGGCAACAAGATTCACAGCTGATTTTCCACACTGCTCAACAAGATTAGAAGCTTTTCCGTCAAAATTTCTTTCCAGCTCAATCCCAACCTAGAAGTAGACGTGAAGATATTAGACATATGACTATGACATAATGCTTATCAATTATTATTAATAATTACTTTCACAGAATTGAATGTCAAAAAAAGGAATGAACTAATAGAAACAAAGATGGATGATATAACTGTGACTAAAGGTAACTTCAGAAGCAGTGATTTGTTTTACCTCGTGAAGTAATCTAACACGTTCATCTTCCAAAGGAAGAGGTCTAGGCCAATTCAGAAGTTTCTGTAGTTGTGGACCTAACATTATGAATTGAATTTGTCAGTGTTATGTGGGAAAAGTATTTCTTCATAGAAAGCGAGCAAATTCACCACAAGGTTTGATGTAAACAGAGATGTCGATACATATTTTTAAAAATGCTGCCACTTGAACAAAAATATCAGACTCAACATTGTTCTTTTCATGTGACTAATTACAATTTGCCTGTGGTTCATGCTCAAACACGGCAGGCAATCAAATATATACCAAGCAAAACTATTCAGTGTTCTGTTCACAGTCTTGAAGCCTGATTACTTACTAGTATGTAACTGTATGTACTAGTACATGCTCTACAATACAATATAAATTCATTTCACCTCTGTACCTAACTACCCACCCTTAAATAATCTTTACAAACTGTAGTCTCAAATTTCATTTGATGATAAAAACATGAACTGAATTGAAGATGAAGTTTGACACATCCTATTGTCAGTTCCCTGCCATTCTAATTTCCATGCATGAAAATAGACATGTTAGTTTGCATAAGGGCAATGCAAGGTCCAAGCAGAATTACCAGTATACTTTTGCAGGCGATCAGCATCAAATGCAGACTTATCATTTTGAAGAGCTGCTTTTAGCCCAGATGCCAAATCATCATAATTCAAATCCTTATCTGTTTCCAAATGAGAAAAGAGAGTGATCAGTCAAAAGAAAGTACGAAAAGAATGACAAGGTTAAAAGCCAGAGGGAAAAAGATATCCTAAAATTCTAGGACTAGGATAGAAGACATTTCACTAATCCTATTTCATGTATTTGTAAATTGGAATATCAAGTAAACAACTGACCCGTAAATCATCCTAATATATGGCCAATAACACCCTAGAACACAACAACCATGATTCATTGGTAAAGGCATACGAGATATGGCATTTTTAAAAAATCAAGGTGTGGGTATGTAAATGAAAAATGAGTTTTATCATATAATGTTAACATTAGAGGGCAGAATTGTTCAACTCACAGCAAAACATGACAATAAAAGTTTAAAAAGTCAAATATTGTGTTAAGTTCAAACACCAAAGAAACTAAAAAAAACACAAATTATATTATATTAATATATGAGGAAACCACAATTTTTACTTGAAAAGGAATAATAAGATTAAAAAAATTAAAAATTAAAAAACCAACAGTAAGGTACACGTATGAGGAACTTTGCCATTTAAGAAGTATTCATGTTTCATAGCCCAAAATGTTCAAACTCCAACACAACACTAAAAAGAATAAAAAAAGTAACCATACTCCTATAAGATATATGCTTATTACTAATCAGCATGTGAAAGAAAAGATGGAATTCAATCATAACCTTTTTTATGGACAAATGTTAGTAATTAATTGATATGTTAGAAGCATTCTAAGTAAAGGTAAAAACTTAAATGCCGTTTCTTACCTCCAGTTGATACTGTTCTGTACTAGACATACAAAACTCTGAAAATCTATAAAAACTGTTATTTTGTACCTCATTTAATAAAATAACTGTTTTTATGTTTAGCACAGTAAGAGCAGTGTACAAGCAACTGTATGTAAACTCCTTTATCTAAATGTTTTTTCAATGCCTTAATTTACTACAAAAAGTAAGTTTTATTACGGTTTTTTTTTCAAATATGTTACACAAAAGTGATGATAATGATGGATATGTTTGAAAGCAGCAGCATTAGTTGGTCAATAAAGAAAGCCACTCCAACAATCAACTGGTCTCACGATAGCAATAACAAGCCAATACAGGAACCAAAATGCTGTCGACCAAAAGTATAAGTCAAAATATCACAGATATGGAAATCCAAATTTGCCACCTCTGGGATATTCACAAATCATTTTCACATTTACATCCATCATTTTCCAACAACACTTTATACAGGTAAATTAACTTATTCACACTATAACATTAAGAAAGTTCCTCTTAGTGCCTGTTAGAATTGTCTTGCTTGAACTTATCTACCAATATAATCACTTATGAGATTATTCATAAGAACTTATAGAAACAACCTATTTATGATAGGTCCACAACAATGAAGCACAGACACCCCATACACGATACCGAGACGGCTAGTAATTAAAAAAATGAATAAATTAAGTGTAGTAGCAAGTATCGGCACTACAATGAACTCATTTCATAATAACCAAACAAATGCAGCCACAATAAATTCAAATAATTTCCAGAAAAGTAACAACTGAAAAAGAAAAAAAAACACAAAAACAGAGGACCATTAACACCCAAAAACCAGAGAAACACAAAAGATGATTCAAAACATACCAGGCCAGAAGCAAAAATTCAAAGCATCCAAGACAAACAAGTACTGAACAGTGAGAGGTCCATTATCAAAATAATGAATCCCTTCAAAATCCCATTCAACTTTGGGAATAGACTCAATCGTGCTCACTACTTTCTCAATTCCTGAAAACGAAACCATCAGCGCAACCATAAATAAACACATTCGAACAACAAAAAAAAAAAAAGAGTTCCACAATGAACAACATTAGTGAGAACCTGAAGAGTCGACGGTGACATGGGAGGAGCGGCTAGCGACCCAAGCAGAGGTAGCCCTAACTTCATCCATGGAGTTTTCACAATGCGGCGTTTGAACGTGAACCTGTGCTAGAAAACCCTAAAACCCAAAGCGTTTTGAAAAAAAGAAAAGAAGAAAATAAAAGTTAGTTTTGTTATTTATAGAGGTTGTTCAAAGTTTCGCGGGTTTTCATGCTGAAGGTAAGGGTAAGGGATAGAAAAGAGGTGACGTTGGCGTGTTTTTCTTCCATGTATTGGAAGACTTATGGACCACGAAATGCCTAATTTTAGGCCTATGGAGGATAATAAAGTTATGTCTTTTCACACTATACTCAATGAGTTCACGTGATCAATCATGTCTTTTTCATCTACCTTTTCCATTCAAACAATCTTGCCCATGTAGTTGGATTTTTGCACGTTTATTTATCAAAAATAGAGATGACTATGGTATCGGACTCTATACATTCATGGACTATAAGGTGTGTACTTGTATTCTTGTGTTTTGTATAACATACTCCCTCAATCCCATACTTTTTTTTAAAAAACTATAATAGCTATATGGTGGAGTTACTTGAAAATATTCATGATATTTTTTTTATAGTTGAGTGTGATTGTCCGTGAAAGACAATAAAAATTTATGTATTATTTTTAATTAAGATAGATATTGTTTGGATAGATTGAAAATATATATATTGAAGATGTATCACATCACTTAGTTTTGTGAATAAATAAAGAATCTAAGGCTATATATATGATTCAATTCTTTGAAACTTCACATCTTTTAGTTTTGTTAAGAAAGAGGAAGTTCAAAATCATATATAGGATTCAAGTTCTTCATTCAAAGATACACCAATCAAAAACACTTTAAGTTTGTATTTGACTTTCTTTGTTCTTTTATACTTTTGTATTAGAGTTTTGTGATATATAGTTAAATATTTGGTTTATATGGTGTGGGTGTACTGGGGGGGCTAGGTTAGTTGAAGTTATATTATGTGTTGTAACAATTTTTGTTATTCTTTAGTTGTGGCCGTGATTTTTTCTTCAATTTGAAGTTTCCACATTATATCCTTGTGTTGTGATTGTGCTCCTCTTTTTTCTCTATGTTTTATTTTTATTTTTATTTTCAACACTATAGTGAATTTGTTGATAGCTTCAAACAAACAAAAATTTAATTTGTAAGATAAAGAACAATGGCAATTAAAATTTATGTCTTCAAGTAACACACTAACATGTTAAGAGTGAAGACAAATACACAAGTAAAAAAAAGATAAAACACAATTGCACAAATGAATTTGTTTACCCAATTCAATCAGACTAGTCTATTTTTTAGGAGAAAGTAACTCTCTGATTCATTATACTTTCAAAAGTTGTTACAAGATATTACAAAATAGTTACAAAAAATGGTCGTCCAAGTTTTCAAGAACAATCTTTATTTTTTTTACCCTAAGTGTTTCTAAATATCTCTAACTTTCTATATATGAATCACACAAATTCAAGATATGTAGAAGTATTTCTTAACCCCCTTAGCTACATTTAAGGGTTTTCCAAATTCCAAGAAGTCCAATGAATTTTTATCATTAGCGAACAAATATGCAAATCAACTAAGTTAAACCTGATGCCCGACAGACACGAGCTATATGTCGTATCTGACTCATGTCATCGTCGATCGGCGCCCCTAGACTGTCAGACCGCCTGTAGCCATCTCCCCATCAACCCCTCGAGGCTCCGAAGTCTTTCTTCGATATTCTTGCTGCTTCTCAACTTTCTAATTTATGGCAATCCCGAAACCTTTTCTATTTATCCATCACTTAATGTGTTAAGACATACTTCAACAATTCTCCATCTTAATTTTAAGTTATAGTGTTGTTAATTTATCCATCAATCACCTTATTGTTCTTTCCAACTTGAATCATCATTCAATAACTTTAATTAAGTTCAGCCATACTTGAACCTTGATCTTGCCACATGCATTCACTTGCTTCAAACCACCTTTACCGGCTTAGTTAATATAACAAACCTACAAACATGGTTTTTCAACCATATTTGACTCCATGTGCTTTCAAATGTTTTCCTGAAGGTCTATGTTTTTGAATTTTACAATCATTCAACCACATTCAAAGCATAACACTTGAGACTAGCATAATCGTACCTTTGAGATTATATAATCTCTCTCTTTACCTTATCACAAGTCAAATGATAGCCAGAGGCCTTTGTAATCCTTCTTTCACCATTAATATTATCCATACCAGAAACCTCAACCTCAAACTAAGTTTTCTCTGTCATAGCTTCTAAAACCTTCATCTTCAAGTATTTACTCTTTCTCCCTTGGCAATACTTACTAAAAGTAATACATATGTGAATGATGAACTTTGATCCTTCAGGTTCAACTTTCAACAACTCATAACTTTTCCCACTTCTTGAATAGCCATTGAAGACACAATCCATAACTTTATCATAAAGTCGGATAATATTGATTTGTGTAATAGGAAAAGCTTTCAAAATAGATTACTTTAATGGTTTCCTACTCCAAACCTCCATAGTTATCTGGAAGTTTATTCTTTTGTATGGACATTTGTCGACTAGGTAAATTACTTTGGCACCAGCCTTACCCTCATAAACTCAATGACAACTCAATCGTCAAATGCGTGTTTACCCATTGTCTCCCGTAAAACTGATTAACATGCTCTGAAATAACTTCCAAGAATCTACCAAGCCATGACCTCAAATCACAACTCGTTCTTTTCATGAAAGTCTTCACTAGTTGATGATAAATGATTAACATCGGAACATTCTAAAATAGAAAAAGCCACATACTTTAAACCATTTAGTTATGATCATTCCATGATGCGAAATCTTTAACATCCCATGTTCAACTTTAGTGCAATAACATGGATCATGAAACAAGTTTATGGATAACAAATTTTGCATGAGCTTTGGAACATGTCTCATATTGTGAAGAAGAAACTCATGATCATTAAACATTTTAATTACGATTGTACTAATACCATAAACTTGAAAGCCTTATTGTCACCAAGGCAAAATACTACACCTTCATCTAACTTCAAAGTCTCAAAGTATTATTTTCTTGAAAAAATATGATAAGAGCAACACGAGTTTGTCACCCAACTCTCTTCAGTCTCCAAACTTGACACCATTAGTGCACCAAAACTCTCATAATTATCCTCACTTGAGGAAATTTCAATACGAATAGAATTATCATTTCCCCTCTTCGTATGATAGTCCTTTATGAAGTGACTGGTTTTCTAACAAGTAAAGCATTTTAACATTGACTTGTCAAACCTCTTTGATCTGAACATCCCTCAACAATCACTTTCTCCTCTTGAGACACTTGAGCCTTCACTATTATCACCAATCTTCAAATCTTTCACCTTTTGAAAACTCCTTGGATCTCAGAGGCATTTGGACTTCATCCAAAGTAATAACACATTTATTACCATAAAGAAGGGAATCCTTGATGTGATTGAAGGATGTAGATATTGAGATTAGCAAGTGTAAAGCCTTGTCCTCATAATCAATATTCACCAAAATATTTTACATATCCATCGATGATCTTTTGAAATTATGTCAGTTGCTCCACTATGAATTTGGTCTCTACCGTTCAAAATAAGTATAGTTGTTGTTTAAGACAAAACATGTGAGGAAAAGACTTAGTCATGTACAAAAATTCAATTTTTTCCCTCATCGAAATCATAATCTTCTCCCTATAGACTTCCCTTAGAATTTTATCCTTGAGGCATAAAATAATGGCACTTTTGTCTTATCAACCATCTATATCTTCTCTACATGTATTAGGGGTGCATGGATTAACGCCTTACCTTTTAATGCTTCAATACAATTCTCATGACTTAATATTGCTTACATTTTCACCTTCCACAACCCAAAATCGTTGTCTCTAGAAAATTTATCCATCTACCATTTAGAACTCATGTTGCTCACTTGTTAATAAAATCCCCTGGTCCCACAATTGACGCCACATGTTGTAAAAACTCTAATAATTCTAATGAATTTTTTGATAGATCCAAACATACTGATATATTTGATTAGTGGATATAACCTATGATATGGGGATCTATGGGGGATCCATGTGAGTGATAAACAATTTATACAATGACCTAAACATTTCTCTATAGGATTAGGATACATAGTTATCCAAATGGTTATAGGTTTAGAACTGAAGTGGCATTTCCTCTTCCTCATAAGGGTTTATGTTTTGATTGATTGTCTTTTAGCTTTTGGTTTTCTTTATATCTTTATTGAGTATTCTCTCATGATTGTGCATCTTAGGGTTGAGTTTTGAACCCTTTTTTTATGCATGCATAAATTAAACTATTTGATTATGGTATAAATAATATGCTCCTAGTCAACTTGTTAAGTTTTTGAATCAAAAATCACATTCGAGAATGGTTTAAGTTATGAAAATGTTATGATCTCAAAAATACTTTATATGACAATGTTATGATTTGAACTACACACATCCATGACTTGAATCAATATTACAGAATATCCAATAATTGCTTTCAAGCTGTCATGATTTGAATCACAAGATCTATGACTCAAATCACAAAAGCTTGATTCTAATCACAAATTTTCATGACTAAATCATAAAAAGTATGTCTCGAATCAAAGAGTTAGTTGTTTTTGTTTCTTGGTTTTTTATTCAAATCACTTGATCATTTGACTCGACTCATACTCTATGTTTATGACTCGAATCAAACATAATTTTTCTCTCATTTTTGTTCTAGATATCCAACACATATAAAAAAACCATTTATCTCAAAACACGTTCACAATGTTGAAAAACATACACATCCACTACTAATTTGAAATTAGTAACACACTTGTTCTCTCAATTTTTAAAAGAGTTTTGTATCTTGCTTTGAGTGTTTGCAAACGAAGTCTGTCATCTTTTACCTCTTTCTTCATCTATTTTAGTCTATATCCAACTTTAATCTTCAAGGTGTGAGATCTATTAGCAAGATTGTTATTGTCAATAAAGTTTCCTTTGAATACTTCTTGAGATTTCAAGGGTTT